ACTGTCTAGCTCAGAATTACAGCACTATCAAAACTAAAAACACAAGATGACAGTAAATGTTTTTTCCATGAAGCTTTATTACACCCACACATAAAAGTGGTCACATTTCACCTTTCTTGCTGTCCACACTACACTCAAGATATACATCAATAAATAAGAAAACATAAATAAAAATAAATACATTATTAAAGACGGGACCAATGTGGTTGACAAAAAAAAAAGTTAAATATCTCCAGATGCAGTGAAAGAAGTCATTGATGAAGCCTTTTTGGGTTCCTGAAATCACAATACTTTTGCAGGTTTTGTAACACTTAGGCTGAAAGTCACAGTTCACACAGGAATAAGATATCAGGGTAGGTTTGAATGAGACATCACATAGCTAACAAAAAAAAAGTTAACAGTTACTAACAAGTCACTGAAATTACAAGGACAAAGAATATGATCTAAATCTGAAGCTTTTGACTCCATAGTGAAGACCAGGTTTGATCTTGTAATATATCCTTTCTTGAAAGTAGGGATATACTGATCGCTAACCTTATTTTCTCAGAATTCTCTCCCTTATCTGGCCATATTTTCAAAATATATTCCCACCCGTCATCTCAAATTCCCTTTTACCGTGTATTCAACCCTATCAAACAGACCCAGAGGAGAATTATTGCACATTATACACATCACCAAAAGGCACTTTCTCCTTTCTTTCACATTCATATGTAAAGTTTGGTCATTACTTCCATCAGCTCACAGACCACAACCACTTTCTTCTACCAGAACCTAAGACTTTTTCCTTCCCAGTTCTATTTTTGTTAAACTTTTAAAAGGAATGACCTACATTTGGCATCTATAGTTTAAAAATGAAATAAAAATAAACTGCCAATAATGGTGATAAAAGAACCCCCCCCTCCCCCCAACAGCTTTACAGTGCAAATTCCACATTTTTTTTTCTCCAATTATATGTGCACCATTCGTGAAATTGAATGTTTCCTTCTTTAAAAAGAAATGCTTAAAACAAGTGATTTTAAAGCATAAAAAAAATAAAAAGCTCCTACTGGCCGAGTATACAGAGACACAATGAATGTGGGTTCTGTAGTTACCCATTATTTGTGACCTCTACACGATCAGCAGCAGAAGGGTTGGGTAATGGCAGGTAGATCAAGTTGTGCGCAGGTGTCAAGACAGTAGTGATATTGCAGTCAAAAGAAACCCCTGCCTCTCCCCTTTTAAAAAAAGAAAAAAATCTGTGCACCATAGTCCAAAGAGGCCAGACACTAGCCAAAGACCTTGCGACATTCCCTGTAACAAAGTCCCATCATCCGCTCCCCAATAGAAGCAAAGCAGAGAATAATGGCTCCAGATTTGGAGTCCATAGGAGTCCTCTTATTTATGGGTCTGCCCGATGTTGTAACAGCTGCATGACGTATCTGAGCCTGTGGCGGAGCTCCGCAGAGCAGCCCTGTTCAGCCAGAGTGCTCAGTTTGAAGGTGTAGGATACTCGCTCTTTACTAATGTAGGTCAGGAGGTAGGAGTCATCACACTTGCACAGGATGATTTTGGTGTGGTCCGTGTAGAAATTCACCTTAAAAAAAAAAAAATAAGAATAAGATCCAATTGTTCTAAAATGCTGTCAAATTACACAATGAACAGTTAAAAGGGAAACCTGTTAGGGGAGTCATATATATATATACACACACACAGTGCATTTGACTGACCACATACCACAAGTATTGATATTGGCATCAATCACAATCAAATGGCAAAACTATGTCCACCTAGACATCTTGATCCGATGCCAACTGAATGACATTAGCATAATCCTCCCACATTCATCAGCCTGTAGCTCAGGACTAGATCCTCACCTGCAGCGTTCCATTGCTGAAGAGCATGACCAATGCATGGTCCGTCTTCACCCACTGCAGCAGGAGCAGGGAGGAGGATCCCTGGTATTCACGACACTGGAGGTCTCCACCCTGAACAGAAACAGCAAAGAGCCTGGTCAGCTTACAAAATAACTTCACACACACACACACCCTTTAGACAAATTCTCTGCTAGGAGAGTTTGTAAAAATCCAAACACGGTTTAAGGTCTTTCTCTGAAGCACACAATCTTGAAAAATTGCTAATGGCCTGCTCATGTGGTCTGTCTGAAGCATGAAAGTTAAAGTTCTCCAATTATCAGTATACTTACATTTTCCTTAATGAACTACAGTAGTTTTCTTGCATTCTTCCCACATAATATTCTAAAATTCAAGTAGTTCACACTTGTGATCTCAGTGGATTTATATTTATTGAGCATTTCCTTCACAGCAAGGCCATCTTACATTTTTAAAGACATGGGACACTTACAGAGAGATACTCGTTATATCTGCACCTTTTAACATACTGTGCTTTAAAGGCTAAATGTTTTCTCCGCAGAAGAGTCCGCCGAAGGAAAATCCTTCTGTAAATGAATAGGGAGTTTATACTTGCCTCCATCAGGTTCTGTTCCATGTAGTTCGCAACATATTCGACAATTTGCATCTGGTTTCGAAGCTGTTCAGGCACCGCCGAGACCGGAAATGTGAAGTGTTTACTATCCGTCAAATAGTAGTGGACAGTTCTGGAAACAAAACAAGACACATCAGAAGGAGCATACTTCAAGTGACAATAAGTGCAATTAAAAAAGAAAGAAAAACGCGTTTTCACTCACCTGCGCTGATCACACAGACTGATGTGTGTCCCTTCGTTGAACAGCACACCAATATTCTGATTGGACAGCTGGTAGCCAAACCCATACTTGTTGGAATAATCAACCCATTTGGTGACCCATATAAAAGGCTTGGGCCTGGACAGACAGCGGGGGTTCCTTGAAGCTTTAAAAAGAAGTAAAAAAAAAAAAAGACTGTGTCAATAACGCACACTGTTGTCTACACCAGTTTCCAGAATCTCAATTAAGAACAGAAGTGCCCAATACGCAAGGTATCTATGCCATTTTAAAAAACAAGAGCACTCTTAGCAATCAGATTTAAAATAGGATATTTACAAAACACCCTCCAGTGCAGTGGGAATGCAGATTTAAATGCTTTGTCAAAAAATAAAAAAAGGCAAATAACTCACCTAAAGGCATGGAAGACAAGCAGTTATTTAAAACCTTAATTGCTGAGTCAGCCACTGCAGCAGCAGTGATGCCATCTTCACAGGCTGAAGGGGAAGGGGAAAGAAAAAAGTTATTTAAAACAGCAAGCAGCCACAGTTCAGTTTCTAGCAGGAAGCGGTCTGGGCTCCTTCCTTTCGAAGGCTGTTCCTGCAACAATTGGAAAACTTTTGCATATATAGCAAAAAAAAAAAAGGGAAACCAATAGGACAATATAAGTGGAGCACAAAAGACTCAGCCAGACTATTCATCAACCGGAAAACTGATTAATACAGATAACAGCATTATAGAAATCCCATTTCCAGAACCACCTTTAGAATTATTTTTGCAAGAAGATATCAAAATGTGTATTTGGGTCTCTTCCATTTTACTTTATTCAGTTAAAAAACTGAATGTACACATTTCCATAAAGATTTAATAATGAAGCCCTAAGACCTGCTTTCTGGCAGTGCAGTAAAGGATGGGACTCCTTACTCACCCTCCGTATTGCTGGCCACGCCTTTGAAGGATCGTGAAGTGGACTTCCTGGATTCTTCCTCAGCCTGGGTGTCCAATGGGACAGAGCTGGCGAGCTGTCCACTGGGAGAGGTAGCCTGTGGGAAAACAGGAAATTCAGTTAAGAAACCTACAAGAATGCCACAAGGCCAAGGCAAGGAAAATCCTCTCAAAAAAGCTTCTTAAGGAATTCAAACAGTTCCCAAAATATCATTAACCCATACAAATGAAGGAAAATATGATCTCCTGAAAGGCTAATGAATTAATTTAGCAATACCCATGGCATTGTAGTAAAAAGACTCTCAGAGACTTAAAAATGAAAAAAATCTTTCATTTTATTTACAGCAGCAAAGATATTCTAACTGGGTTTCACTATCCAAGTGTCATGTTTAGAGATTACACTCCAGCAAACTGCCTGCAAACCTGAGCTTTTTACAATGAATTATGGTGTTGCAGTAGCTCCAAAGCACATTCTGTAGTTTACACAAAATTACTTTTTGCTAAAGCTACACTTAAGGTAGATTAAGGCGATGAGGCACATATCTGGTAAAAGCAAACACCGAAGTAGTACTCCTTCATTTTCTCCTAACATGAGTCAACAATTTGTACCACAGAGTAAATGAGGTTTGATCCTATACACTTTCTAGCACATATTCCATACCTCGTTTCCCTCCACAGTCTTGTAGCTCATCTGTCGGCTGATCGAACTCTTGACAATTCCAGTAACCAGCTTGGAGATCTCATCATGTTCCTCAACAGGGCTCTTCTCAACTGGAAGACAACAGACAATGCAGTCAGACAGGCAGTTGCCCGACAGGTTGAAAACAAGAAGTCTTCGAATCAAGAAAATCAAAAAGATGGAAGTCACCATAAGAGTGTTTTACCTTTAGATTTCTTTTTGCCAAAGAGGCTTTTGGCCATCTTTGTGAAGAACTTTTTGGCAGGACTCGGAGGGTTAAGTTCTGGCACCATAACACAGCTACTGGGAGGCAGTTTGTCGGGGGTGAAACCCTACAAGAGATAAAAAGCTTGGAATAAGTTACACTCCTTTACCATGAACTTATCTTAACCAATGAAACAAGAAAAGTTAATAACAATCAGGTTTATGATATTACCACAATTTTTTTTAGAAGGGAATATAAAAAAAGTCAGAAGTAACCCTCCATTTTCTGATGAATATGGCTAACCTCAAGAAGAGATTGCAGATCTTGGAGAAATATGAAACAACCTGATAAAATGTTTCAGCCTTAGCACCCAGAAGCTCTGGGCACTGCACAATGACCACTCCAAAACCGGCACACCTGGGAACACCATCGTAACCGGATGCTTACTTTAGTGAAGAACTCGTGGTTGAGGATTTGATCCAGCGTCAGTCTATCACAGGGGTTGCGCTGCAGAACCCCAGAAATCAGCTTCTGAGCAGCTGGTGAAAGGGAGGGCGGCAATGTGTACTTTACTTCCTTAATACACCTGTAGGTCTCCTTTAGGTCCAAAGTCTCAAAGGGGGGGTTACCACACAGTAAGGTGTACCTGCACATAACACCAAACAAGACAGTGGTTAGATACCCCATTTCATATAACTTGAAGAAGATACATTCACCCATCTTTAAAGTGCTAATGCAGAAGACATTCCACAAAGTTTTGCACCTTCCTACACTGACAATCAAACTAAAAAAATAATTACAAGTAATAGGTTTATTCCATGCTGAAAAGAGAAGAAAACGTAAAAAAACAAAATCACAATGGACTTTGAAGACCAGAGGAGTCTGCCTGGGTTACAGTACTGACACTATTAACTAATGTACACCAATACAACCTCAATGGAAATATTTACAGGAAGCTTGTGGCTAAATCAGCTATTTGTTAGTTCAGCTCACTTAGCAAGGAAGTCTAAAAATGGTTCTTCATCTCTCATTAACCACTCTTATTTTCCTATCACACTGCTGGCACGTTTCCCTCATTGCGACAAATACAAAGGTCACGCTAAAATGACATCATGATGTTTTGTGTTTTCTGGCAACAAACATTGTCATTATTTATTTTCACATGATTATCATATTGTTGGCATTTGACATACGACATATGGAAAAGGCATTTGATTCCACTCACATGACACAACCCAGTGACCAAACATCAGATTCTGGTCCATGCCCTTGCCTGTTCAGGACTTCAGGAGCCAAATAGTTTGGGGTACCACAAATAGTTCTGGAACAGTAAATAAGTTGGCATTAATGCAGTGCAGAGAAGACTGGAAGAACATGAAAAAAAATACTGATCAGCAGAAATTTGGAACTGAGTAAAAAAAACAAATCAAGCCTACTTTTTCCTCTGTTCCACTGGTTCAAGCTTGGCTGCCAATCCGAAATCTCCCAGTTTCAACTCCATGTTCTCATTGACGAAAAAGTTACCTAAAAGTACAAACCTCAATTAATTTCATGTACTTTGAGAGGGTTCTGTATCAAAAGATACTTTGCCCTTTCTGGGCAAAGATTTAAGAAGCCATTCTGAATTTGCTATTTAAACACAAGCAACTGTAGGCTAAAAAAATATATATATTTCCTTTTTCCTCTTTAAAAAAAAGTATCTACCCAGAGGACATTTTTGTGTTGAGAACTAGGTCTCATGACAACAGTTCCCCAGAGCATTCCAAAGCTGTGAACATCTCGCAATAAAAGCAGTGCTTCATTGTGCACACCTAGTTTGAGGTCTCTGTGAAGAATCCCTTTGTTGTGGAGGTATTTCAGTCCTGATATAATCTGCTTGAGGTAGTATCTCACTTCGGGATCTGTCAATGTGTGCCGTGCCTTCCATATGTGCGCCAGAGACTGCAAAGGAAATGGAAAACGCCCGTCAGTTTGAATGATTACTCACTACCGGCATTCTGAATCACCGGAGAGCCAAAGCCAACAGCTTACCTTTCTACTGCAAAGCTCTAGGAATATGTAGATGTTTTCTTGGTCTTCAAAATGATGAGAGAACTTCACTATGTGTTTGTGATGAAGCGTTTTGTGCAGCTCAATCTCATTCGTTATCTGGAAGGCGATTAAAAAGACGAGTTACAGCAAAAGGTAGAACTCCCTCACCAGTTCCATAACAGACCAGCCTTTAACCCAACCTCTTCTGTACAGAAATTGTAAATACATTAAAGGGTGTATTGCTATTATAAGTAAATGAATAAAGAACAGCATTAGAAAAAAAATGTAGACGACTAGTTCATTCTCCAACAAACAATACTCAAAATACGGTACCTTTTCTCTCTGGTGCGGTTTTGCCACTCTGCTTTGGGGTATTACTTTCACAGCATACACCTTGTTGTTGGCAATATCCGTCATTTCATAGCAGCGTGCAAATCCGCCCTAGAAATACATTTAGGATGTAATCAATAAAAGCGCACCAAAGTAAACAATCTACTCCTGCCGAGTCCCACATACAAAAGGAAAGAAGCACAGAATTCGTTGTCACCATTCATATTTCACAGGTCCGTCTCTTCAGAAATTCCGAATTTTAAATCCACGCCGGACGACCCTCTTTTAAACACAGCCTCACATCTTAAATGTGGATGGTTGAGGTCTATTAACAGCCAAGGGCGCTTCTACATTGTATGCACCACTTCCAGGACAATGGGGGGAAAAAAGCCCTCTTCACCCCTGGCATACGGACAGTAAGCTATGGACTTTCCTCTTCTAGTGTAAATGTAATATTTATGAGGGAACACAAAATCAAAAACGTGACAAAGATGAGGCACAAAGATCTTTCTTCCTCCCATTTCTACATATTTAAGGAATGTTGTAATCAGGTGTTATGCACCCCCCATGCTGGTTAATGACACTGCATCAAACGCCTCAGGGCGATAGTACTAGAAAGGCTCTAATCAAAAACAGGGAAGCCAGCGACCATTACCCTATTCAACGTGGCATAAATTTGATCTCTCCATCTGGACTCGAAACGTTAAAATACTTTTAAAGGATTTATTTGGAGGAAAGTCACATTCGTATACATGGAAACAATACCCATGAAGATTAAAAAGTCTCCAGAAGAACGAGATTAATTTTAACTAAGTACCCCTAACGCAAAAGCTTAACCTCATGCACAACTGCGTGAACAACAATTCTTCCCAGCCAGCACCGACTTCTAATCAATAAACCCAAATCTTTCACATTCAGAGACGTAAAACCCAATGAGTCACACAGCTAGAGACAAACTGAAAGGAAAGAGCGCTTATGCAGTCACAAGCTGTGCATCAGCAAAAGCAGTCTAACCCGCAATCTCTCACAGGCAGTCAATGGAAAAATAAAAAGCTTATGTTTAGCCAGCCACTTAAAAACCATTATAATATTTAAGAGGAGAGGGAAGGAAAGAAAAAAAGCCTTCAATACCATACCATTAAAACCGACAGAGCGCTAACGTGGCTCAATAAACATTTTAAAAATATTTTCGCTCAAAAAAAAAAACTATCACTTGGTAGACCTCCAACCCCTTCAAAACAAACTGTTCAATGAAATAGTCTCCCGCAAATTTCACAAATCCCTCAGAAAAAATGAGTATTCATCGACAGCGGTGCCACATGACAACAGCAGCGCCTCGACGTGATTGCAGTATATACCTTTCCCAGCAGTTTTCCTTTGCAGTAACATCTCCCCGTCTTGGAATCGTTCACGACATGAGCCAGTTCCGATCGGGACTGTTCCAATTTGCCTCGGTTCGGTTTCGCCGGGTGAGCAGCAGCCCGTTCAGGACTAGCTTTAAATAAGTCCGGATTCATGATCTGGCAAGCGAGGCGCTGAGAGCTGGAGAAGCACGTTGATTCCATTCATTAACGCCCCAAACACACCGCCAATATATTTCCTCTGTTAAATGGTAACAGCCTCCTCTTTCCTCTCCTCCAGCCTCAGCAGTACATGCCCTAACAGGGAATCCCTGAACCATTTATTCAAGGTCTTTGTCACGTTGTATCAATGGGCGGGCAGCGAGGCGGAGTTACATTTTAAAGACGCAAAGCCTATTCGAAGTTGTTTAGTCCTAACCGTACTTTCAAGATGCCTCAGTAGATCAGTGTTAACAGGTAATCCACGAAAACCCTTTGATACATAGTAATATATAGTTATATATTTGTATGTGGGATATTCATAGTAAACTTTTAATTTTTTTAAAATGGCTTCAAGTCACTTAGATCCTTAATAAAAATGAGATACTTCTGAATAAAATACCACTGAAACACTGTATACTTGGAGATTCTCGGATTATTTGGGAAGCCAAAGAAAACCCTTTGGATCCACGGGATAATTTAATCATCATCATCATCATCATCATCATCATCATCATCATCATGATCATCATCATCAATATTAAAACAGTTAGCTACTTTGGTACTCATGTAGCATGAATGATTTGTGCACATGTCCTTAGCGCTAGGCTAAATTGTGTACAGAATTCACAGTTTATTGAATGTCCACTACTTGTTAACCAAAGATAGTATAACTTACCCCGCCTTTAGGACCTGTTACATGTTACAGGGTAACCGGCTCAAAATAGAGTCAAAGATGCAGAGCAAAATCAATAGATTTACCATCTTTGAGAGACCATTTGAGTGCCAGAGACGGACTGGCGATTCATCACGCTGAGTAAAGAAAGCCCTGACATATCCACTAACGAGGGCATTCAGATCTTTGGCATCAAATGCTATTGTTCACAAAAGAATGGCTTCCGACTGCGTTCAAGACTAATCATGTGAAAAGCACACTGTCTTTAAATTAGGATTAGTCAAAGCGATTGCAATGGATGACCCTAAATCAAGATCAAAGATAAACTCAATAAAAATAATCAATGGTAAGAATACCCAGCTAATCTTTTCATTTTTAATCCGCTGTCAACGTATAATTGCGTTATGTTAGTCTGCAGAACTGTTCATCAATTTTCCTTAGAGATTCACTGCCCCCTGTCTTCACACACGGATATATTAATAAACCGAAATACTTGTACTTTTATAATGTCAATGAGAGTGCGGCAAAGGGGCAGATTTTGGAAAGTTAAAAAATAACAATTTAAAGCGCACTTTCATAAACATGGTTTTCATGTTTTGTAGTATTTAGGCATACTTCTAAATTTTCTTTAGAAACCCACCTATCATCTAGAAATCTTTTTTTATTGTATTGCATGCAACACTTTGAAAGAGGAACAATACAATTCACGTTAAGTGGCAGTGAAAATGTACTTACAATGTCTTTCCCTTTAACACTCTTATGTATACAGACCACCGACAGCATGAAGAGAAAATTAAAATACTGCTGGATGCCACCTAAAGTCAGACAATGGTTTTAAATGTTTTCTCAGTTAATTAGAAAAGTCAGTACCTTCCAGTCAGTATCTAGGCTTCCAGTATCAAGAATAGGACTGGCAGAATTGTTTCCATATCTCTGGCATGAGCTAATCAAAACGAAACATGGTGTTTTCCCCTCTGGACCACAATCTCCAAACCAGTACTCCAACAGACACGGGACTCTGTTTTATAGGAAGTGCTGTCCTTGGGATGAAATGTTAAACTGGGGTCCAGACTGCTTGGTCATTTAAGATCCCATGGTATTGGAAGACTAAAATTATTAGCTCAGTTAACCCTTGACTCTGTCCTGGCTAAATTCTACTCTTGGTTTATACAATCTGGCCTACCTAAAGTTCCCCTTAATGCAACGGGAGCCCTTGATCTGCTGTGTATTCAGGCTGCTGGTGCTTAATATCTGTGAAAGTGCTTCAGTGGTAGAAGAAGTACAATGCTCAATGATACAAAAACAGCATTTCTCTCACCTAAGATTTGAACCTCAACCTTCTAGTTACAAGTCCAGAACCCTGACTGCTGCTCCACACTGCTGTTCCAGTTAATTTTTTGAGGAAAGTGTTGAGCTGGAGCCCGTCTTAGGAAGGACAGCCTGCAAGGCAAAACTGGGAGCACATGACTGCCCTCAAATTCAACCCAGTGCCATGGGGAAAGGGAAAATTTAGAATAGACAACTAGACCTGGCTAGAAGAAACCAGGGCATCCAGAGAAATACCACACTCCAGATAGATACCCAATGTCAGAGTGTAGGACCATGGAATATTGTTTCAATGAAATCATTAATACATTTTAAATCAATATATTTTCAACAAACAAGGATTACAGCACTGCACAGTTACGTCTGGTAAACAAACAAGGCACAGGGACAGAGTACAAAGTTGAACAAGTTTAAAATGGTGTAATGAAGAAACAAGTGGTCCTCAGGTGGAAGTAATTTTAATCAGACTATAAATGCAATAAAATACTGCACAGAAATACAAGAGCAAAAGTACATCAGTTCAGATATTTTGTACTTTCTGTCTGTAACAGTATTCAAGCAACACATTTTCACAATTGCGATTCATAACACATCTTGTGTGGTTTTCAGAAGACTGTCGGGGGTAGTAATGAAAGGTTCAGTAGACGTTTTGCAGGAACACTGCAGGATAGATGTTGGCAAAATTAGGTACCAGCCTAAACCCAGTGAAATAGAAAAAGATCAATGGATATATCCTATCTAGATCTTTGGAAGAAGAAAATACAGAAAAAAATAATGAAACCTGTCATCTGCTTTATTATTTCCAACACAGCTGAAATAATGGATGAGATTTTAATTTAGAAGACAATTATCAACATTTCTGTCTTGTCTTTGATTGATCTGGTCAGTATTCCTTAATTTTAAAATGTTATTGAATTGACTAATCTATTGAATCTCATTTTTACTTATGGGATCCACAAACTTCACTCGGGAGACTCTTGAGAACAATGCGCATTCATATTAGAAATATAAGTTGTTGAGTTCTGTGGTGCTCGGAGAATTACTGTAGTTCTCATACCCTCTACTCTTGTGAAGCAGTAGTGTTCTCACAGCCATACAATAGTCTGGGGAGCCCTCTGGTGGACATTGGTTACAGTACAGTGAACATGCTGCAAGAACTTAACGGGTATGAATGTTATAAAAAGAAAATATTGTACTTCTAGCAGGAACATTACAATTCTTTTGAAATGTTTTATGTGTTTCATTCTAAGCATTTTGACAAGGTAACTTACTGGTTCACAGACGGTTTCTGTTTTTAATTTAAAAAATGAGGAGCAGTTGCATAAGTTTGAAGACAAGTTTGAAACCAACATTACACAGTACTGTATATTAATGTAGAAAACATTATTTGAATAATGGCTCTTAAACGTAAAGATGCACTATTCATTATTAAAACCCCTTTTAATTTATTATTGGTTATCTATATTATGCATTTTTAAAATGTATAACTTATGTAACTTTATTCTGTACCTTTTAATTTTGTGATTTTTGTTTTTATCTCCGCCTGGTGAGCTCGCACAAAAGACATTTCATTGCCAGCAATTACTGCTGCACGATGTATTGTTGTGCATTTGATAAATAAACTTTGATTGTTTGAGATATATCTTATACATAGTTCTGAGTTGGAGCATAGCTACAGCCATAGTATTGTACATAGAGATGTGATAGAGACAACCCTACAGAACACCCGAGAAAGCTCAGTTTTCCACTGAGGGTGCCTTTGCGGTACAGTGGAGTTCAGTTGCTAAAGGATACTGCTTATCTTGCAGCTGGGACTAGGCCTAACACACAGCACTCAAACCCTGGATAGGGATGAACTATACCAATCTCATGAGTGGAAAACACACAGTTTGGCCCCAGTTCTACAAACTGCAAAATCAACACTGGTTTCCTTTCAGAAACTATCCGAAAAAAAAAATACATCAAACAAGTTTGATTTTATTTTATTTTATGTTTTTTTTGAATAATAGGCACCTAGTTCACCCTTTCCCTGCATATTCCAGCTGTTACTCTGCGCAAATGTAATGATGATAGGCTAAGAATTTTTCAGATTTTCTTTAAAATCTTTCTCCATCATGCACTGATCACAGCTGTCTTTAAGAACAGAATGATTAAGAATAATTCTGATAACTCAGCTAGTTCACTATCTTCTATATGGTATGAACTGGAAGTCAGTGAGCAGAAACAAAACCACACAAACATCTTTTCTCAACTTACGACCTACAATCTGAGTTCACCTGAAACCAGTTATCAACATAAAATCCATTTGTGTCTTTAGACCATCCTTTAAGTCCACAGTTGCAGCAGGGTAACAATGTATGTCATGCTAAAGGAAGCAGTCAATATTTCAGTAAGAGGTGAACAACAAAAAGTATTTTCAGGGACAAAAAAGGAGAGCAATCCACCGTTCTTGTTTGCTTTCCTTTCAGTATTTAATCTTTGTGGTTCAGAGTTCCATGTCTTCACCTCTGGCTTTTTTCTCTTGAGATTCTGCCCAAGCTTTGTTGATGGTTCGCTTCATTTCATCATCACCTTCAGAGTAGATTTTCTTTAGCATGCTCATGAGCCCTTCACTTGGGTCAGCGTTCTCATCAAAACTGGGTTTTCTGGAAGGAAACAAATGAGTCCAATCATCAAAGCCTTAGGAATTGTCAAATGTTAACTTACAATTGACAACAATTTTCTCTATACATTTAAAAATGCAAGTCCCGATAATTGTCACTTTCCAGTTCCAATAAAAACTAAATCTATGTTAAATCAAAATGAAAAAACCAAACCACGATTAGGTCAGGTGTATTAAAAATTCAAACGTTTTTTTATTCCCCAGATTTACCTTTGATTTAATGCAAAAATTAGACATTTCACTTTTGTGCAATGCCCAATATATTGCAACTTGTAAAAAGAGATCTAATTAAGAAACCAAAACACTCAGGATGACAGTAAGTGATCTATCACCAAGGAATCTATTCAATCTACTTGGAAAAGTACACTATCTAATAAACAGCACAACTTAGCTTTCTGAGTATAGCAATACTTACTCTTTATCTTTAGTTTGTTTTTCCACCTGGGTCAAGCACTCCCATTTTTTTGAGCTCTTCTTTTTACACATCACTAAGACCATATCTGTTTTCACCTACGAAGTTAGCAAACAGTTTAGACAACCAACCAAATAAAAACAATGGCAAACACAAAGCACGTGCTGTGCAATATTCGAAACTGATTTTCCTACAAAGGCGACTTTTAAACAATAAGATCACATGACACATATATTGCAAAAGCTTATCTAAACTAGTTTACAAGGTTTAGCAATTTCACATATCCTGATTTAAAAAAACAGTATCTTTACTGACCTTTCGACAGCTTTCCTGTATGTCAATGGGTTGTAAGAGGTTGTTGACAGTCATTTGGTAGTTCATTCCTTCCAGATCTTTTACAAGCAAGACAAAAGACCTACAGAAAACACATATATATATATTAAAGTTAAAATGTTTTTAATGTGGAAGTAAGAAATTATGGCATACAAAGTTATTCTTTAATAATTTAATACCTTTATTAACAATATTTAATACAACTTTTAGAGAAGAAGTGTACTTTCAGCTCTGTTCTTACCTCTCTGTAAAGCTTGCCTCAATGTTTTCCGTTGAGATCTTATGGACTCCTTTAAGAGTAATATATATTTTTATGAACTTATCCGATTGGTCCCATCCTGCATGATAAATAGGGAAAACAAAGATGAAAAAAAAAAGTTGAGAAGTGCAGTTTAAAACACAAAATGACCGTTGGCCGCTAAACGCAATGGAATCATCATACTGAATGCAGACAAATCTAAAACAGATTAAACAATCTTAAAACAGATACAACACTACAGTCAACAAGGTTGCAGTTACAAGCTGTGCCTCAATAAAGAACAGAACATTTTGTAAGAAAAAAGCGCCAGCTGTTAACACAGAACTCTAGCTTTCCATAGACAAAGATAATCCTACTTTATTTGATTTTGGAATTAAGATACATTCCTTTTTGATTTTCCACAGATGAGTATGATCATATTTAATAGAAGAACATCGTGCTTTCTTTTGCAGCTGGTAACTTTGCCATCAAGAACAGGGAATTATAATATCCTACTGATTTTGCTTTTCAAGGAATATAAGAAGGGAAACTTTAGAGAGTAGCTTATAAGCAAAACAGAATAAAAAGAACCAGCTGACAAATCATTAGAGTTTTTTTTTACCAGACCGCAGGTTGAAAGAAAAGAAATTACCGTAGTTATTGATTTTGACAGTGTAGCCCTTGGCGGCTGAGGGCACAGCTTTGTCTGAATCAGAACCTTCCTTCTTGTTCAGCTGCTGCTGCTTCGCTGTGATTTCTCTCTCGAGCTTCTTCTGCTCTGCAGTCAGGACATCCTGAATTCTCTTTCTCTCGGCGATCTCCAGCAAAGACTTGACCTCCTTCAGGTCACTCTCAAGCTGAGAAATCTGAAAAAAAAAACCCCAGCAAAAACAAGGACCAGAAATGATTTTTAGGAATGCAAGAAAATAAAGAACGGATACAAATTAGAGAAGGATGATCAATCCATCTAGCCCCTTTTTGTAGTTAGTCTATCCCATGTTATTACTTGTAATGACATTTACAGTAGATATGCCAAGAAATACTGTCACATATACAAAGAAATTTCCGATAATTTAGTTGCGATGCATGTTTTATGACCATTTAGAGATGGAAGAAGAACCAGCCATACTCTCCAGGGTCACAAAAGGCAGCCCAAAGCAGTTTGTGCATACTAGCTCACACGTTGTAAGAGTGCATTCTCTAGAACGACCTTGACTCTGATAAAGTCAAGAAGCTGTAGAAAACATAACTACTCTTCTCTGTCAAGTCTGGACTGTTTTTCCATTAGGAGTTCTTCTGAGAAACGGGAAAAAGCATTACACTGCTCTTGTATTAGCAGTTCTAGAAATTGCGGGGAATATTGCTAAACTGTGTCATATTTTTGTTTTTTGCATGCAAGAACTGTTTTGTTAAGATACAAAAAATATGTTAGAATATCTGTAAGACACGTCCATTAGACATTATTTATTTACATTATTTGTACACTTGCTGTCTTTGTTGAAAAAATAATACAATTCCTGTTATTAGGTAGTGACAACTGGTCTATATAAGCATAAAAAGGACATAAAAGTAAAGGCTTGCTACAGTCTTAAAGAAGGAATATGACAATGCGATCTTTTATCTTTGTTGGTTTACTTAACATTTTAAAATATCAACATTAAATCAACTGAAGAGCTCATTATCAGGTAATAATTACATTAATTAACAAGGTTAGAAGACAGATGTTTGTTAGTCTGATAAGCGTTTTTCGTCTGTCAAAAAACCCACGTGTTAATTACGTGAGGAGATAAAATACAATCAGAAACATACGTATGTATATGTAATAAGAGAGAATACCCTTCAGAATTAACTATAAAACTACCAAGAAGGATACATTGGCAGTTATGTTTGCAAAAAGTTAACACCGAACAACGAGCAAATAGGGTTGGATTAGTAATCAATACGGTACGAAGAAATATCGTTATTTTTCGATGCAACACCTTTGCTAGATTCAATATTAGCGCACTACAAACGCTTCTGAGTCCATGGTCTAAGCCATAGTGAACCTGCTGTGAAAAGTTAATGCACCTGAGCCCAAGAAAAGTATTATGCATCTAAACAAGCTCATTGGAGGGCACAATGTTTTAAAAGGTAGGTACTGTTGTATATAGTTTCTCAATCAGTTATTTTATCTACTTACCTGTTCATTGGTGCCCATTGCAACAGGGAGCAGAAATTATATATCACCGCTGATTTACTGTATGCAGCTCGTACAACGGAGTGTTCTTTTTCTATCGCAGACGTTTTCTTAAACAGAGTTTATAATGTTAATACCAAGTAACAACAGCAGTGGTTTTCATATAATCGCCTGTCACAATACCACACTACTTTCGTTTCTTCTACAGCATTCTAGAAGATTTCTTTCACGCAGCCCGGACTCGACGTGCTTGCGTACGTCGGCAAGTTTTAACGTCATTTCCAGGCTACAAAGACTACAGCGATTCCCTTCGGCACGGACTTCCGGCGTCGCGCTCACTCTTGGAATTATGGGATACGGCGAGTTCCGGACTACGCGACCTCTTCCCCACTTGTCCTTTTTTTAATCCAGATCCGTGAACTCCCATGATTAATAACCTCTGTTGAAGATTAATTTCGGTATAGCAGGAGGCCTTCCTTGCTTTATAATCGGTGCTCTACAAAAATTGATGCATTTTCTTTTCAAGCCCATAACTTGTCAAAATCCTCAGTCGTTTAAAATAACTTATTTTATGCTATAGTCTACTTTATACAATAATGTAGCTATTAAAAACAAAAAAAGGTAAATACATGAAGGTCTGAAACATTAGGCTTTTAAGTCACCTTTCTATTGAAGATGGAAATTTACATTGTATTTCCTGACAGGATTCCAGTGGATATAAGAATGTAGCCTTCATTACATAGACCAACACTATCAGGGCCAGGAAAGTAATTTCCAATTGAGAAGCAAGTCTAACTTTTGATTAAATGCATGTCTAAAATTTTAAGAAAATAAAAAGAAAAACAGTAAATGCTCCCAACATCCAGGTATTTAATTTATTTATTATTAGAATTGATTCAACACAAGTGCAATGACATAGTCTACATTTTTTTTTCTTCCTTTGCTACAGTTTCCCAGTAACAAAAGCAACAGTAATAAAAAGACGAGAGTGCAGTGGAGTCCTATGCCACTGTGCCAACTGTCCCTTGTTTGCAGCTCTACTGCGCGAGGAAATCCCAATGAAGAGGACTGCTACCACATTGCTCTCTGGATTCCCGACATCTGATTGTGATCAGCGAGGTGGCGGAAAACTATCCGGCTCAGTCTCCACCTGCGCTTCACCCCTCGCGGCCGGGACGTCATCACACACCTGTTCCGGATCCGGACTGGGCAGCTGTCCCGTGGCAGGGCGGCAATTTCTTTATCGGCTACCTCCTAGCAGAAGGGAGAAACAGACCAGAGCAACATCACGCGCAGTACCGGCTTGCTTTTAACTCACCAGCTTCCAGAAATATGTGCATCTGCTCGAGGCACATAAAAACACAAAAGGGCAGGTGACAAACTTTACTTTTAACGGTCTTCTGATTGATGCCGTTAGTTATTTAGAACACTGTATCGTTCATTGCAGCAGTGCTAATGCAGCTTTTTCCTCTTCACTATCCTTTTAGTCAAGGTCTGTTCAAACATCATAGACATCTGATGTTTGCATCTGTAGAGCTGCAGGTCAATTTAAAGTGTTCTAAAGCTTTGAAAAATACCAATAAAATGCTGATTACATTGTTTCTGACCACTATATGCTGCAGTGCAATTACAACACTCTCCTTCGAAGAATCACCAAAGTGTGCAGCAACCAGACACTAAAATACAGTAGAGGTTCTACTCAGTAATTTCCATATCTGAGTCACATGTGGCTTGTCGGATCTTATCCTGGTTTGTGCAGCATTAAGTAAATGACAGAGCATTTGACATTACCCTCAAGCCAGGAGGGCACCAGCTCCCAGCAATACTCATTTACAAAGCCTGAATGGACCTGACCAATTAGTATAGAGACCCTCAGCAGAGAACACTTTAATCCACACCCCACCAGTTAAAGGTCCAGAGACTTACCCACAGTGCACCAAAGAGAATAACAGTACAGAACATTAATTAAGTTAAAAAAAGAAATACAGGTAGTGCTAAGTATATGCGACTCAATCAAAAAAAAAAATCTCTAACGGCATTTTCAATTAAAAGAAGATCTCTTCAGTACCTGCAACTCTTTTGGCAAGATTGTGTTCTTCCTAATCGCATTAATCCGGAGTCGGTCATTTGCGTATTCAAACGCCATTTGTCTTCTCTTCACGTCTCGCAGCATCCTCCAGTCCACATAGTAACCTCTGGCCTGTTCCACATTACCTCTGGAACTTCTAAGGGTCTGACAAGAGGAAAAGAACCGAAATATTGTATTGTAACGCAACGGGGGCTCAGGTGGGCGCCCTTGCCGCATTAGGTCAGCCCCATCCCGACTGGAGGCTCGAACCCGGGACTTCCGCGTCTCTCTGCAGCGACCTAGCCCCGTGAGCCAAAGAGAGATCTCTCCACAGCCCAGTAGCTGTGGTCCTGCTATCACAGGGAAGGGCGGTGACGTCACCCGCTCTGGTACGCCGGCTCTTACACACAGTGCTTGTCGGCCGTAAGCGTTACACTATTATTAAAATAGCAGAGAATGACGCAAAATGCGCTTAATCGGTTTTAAATAACCGTGCTTAACTCCATTAACAGCATTTAAAGCGATTTTCAACACCTTATAAAAATCTGCACATCCACACGTAATAGGCGTATGCTACATAATTTTAGTGAGTATTCAATTACCTGAATCTACAAGGCTCTTATTTAATTGGGATGTTAAGACACGATAGAGCACTTGATTAAAATCCAGGAGTTTTCTTTGCAGATGCAAAGTCTGCTTGAAGAAAGCTCTGGTTCCGTTTCAGGTTTTGTGACCGAGTTTCAGTTATCAGTGAAGGGTCCACAGAAACAAAACATCATGGGGTTTGTATTGCCGGGGTAGATGCGCTTCTGCGAAGATATACGAATTCTGTATTATTGAGACACAAGGACTGAAAAGGGTAGCGCACGTAAAAGGTGTATAGAAGGATGATAAAAGTTATAAACTGCATGTTCTAAATGTTTCTGCAAGACAATAAGAGGTAGAAATCATCTTGAGAAATGGCTGGTAAATTTTAAAAGAAAACGATTTTTTACTATATTGTAAGTCGTTCCAAATGCTGTACTCGATGAGATACTTGTGTTTTTCACATTGTGTTTATTGGATACTGCCATTACCTCTTCAAATGCCCAATATAGAAGCCTGTATTCTAAACATTGAGAAAGTCACCTGCTTTTAAGAGATTTAAGTGTTACCTGGGTAGCTCTCCAAAACGAAGACTGCAAAATCCCCAACCCCGAAGCGACAAACCTCCCCCATATGGAAGCAGCCATGTTGCATCGTGACTTTCAAACCACAACTTTATTTAAAAACGACATCCGTCCACAGTTCACAGAAAGTGTAGACTACAACATCAATCCCATGGCCAGAAATGTTAAGAATTAATATTTAAATTCACAAAATAATTAACTCTTAAGAGCTTTTAATCATATTGCATGATTTTTTTAAATCGTGTCAGGATTCTAAAAATACTTTCCATTCCGGTTATTGTTCATTTTCCGTTATAGTAGTTCACCTGTATAAGAACGGTTAGCATCCAAACATTCTTTAACAACTTCAGGATCGAGGGATAGTCGGAGCCCATTCCGCAATTTTTCTATCTAAAAACAAACATTATTCAGTAACTCCGTAGTTACTACACTAAAGCCATATATTAAGGTTTATAACAGACCTATTTTAACTTTTGCATTGTTATGGCTGTCTTGATTAATTGCATTGTGCTGGGTTACATGTGAGCCAGAGACCCATATATTATATTCTTCAATAAAGACGACGAAAAGAATCGAGATTCAAGAAGTGATGCAATCACTAATAAACATAATTGACAATTAGCAGGATCAAACAATTATATAAAAAAAACTGCAATGGGACTAATAAAAAGAGGGAAATCGTGAATCGCAATTCAGAAGGAAGCGCAGGAGTAAAATGCAAGTTAAAAAGTTTCTGACATTAGTAACCTATAAAGTGTACTTGAGGTTAAGATATTCAAGCAATTGGCAGATTTTTAGTGTTTTACAGTAAACGAAGAACAGAATCTGTCGAACTCGTACACTCATTTTATAAGGACGTCACGTGGTAAAAACACAACTTCTAAAATCATTTTGAAATCGTTTGGAACATAAATTATTATCCCCCAAATAGTCCATTTCGTTGAACACATTGCGTACATCATTGATCGGTAATGTGATTTTTTGGGAAAACGTATTCTCAATCCGATTTGGAATGACCTGTTAGGTTCTTTCCAGGACCAGAGGTGGACATGCATGGTGTAAAACACTAGGACTCATCATCATTCCTAGAGGGCTGCAATGTATGTCCAAAAACGAGCACTTAATTAATCTAATTACGTTCTTAATTAGGTTTTATTTTAGAACATGCACACATATACTTACAGACTATCGCTTTCAAGGTGCTGTTGGGGGGCAAGGTCCCTGACCTTTCTGAGCCTTGAGGGGAGTTTTACATTCTTGCAAGTAATTAGGTAATTGACGAATTAAAAAGCAGAGAATGGAACTCTCTCAAGAGTCTGACACGAGAAGACAAGGGAGACCCTTCAGGTATATTACTGTAAATCTGACACCCTCCCTATTTGTGTGTAAGATCTGACAGTGACAGTTAGAGGGCAGCATTTGATCGCAGCATTTAATTTCTCTTTAGAAGAATTTCACCATTTAACTAAAAGCACCATATGATCTGGACTATTTTCCACTTTTTTTAATCTGGTGGTACTCTCTAGTATATGACCTGATGCAGTAGACACACTGTAGCATTCCCGTAACCTGATTTTCTTAACCATTGAACGTTTTAAATGTTGAGACTATAAATATCTCCTTTCTGATCATCATAAGGCCGTCAAACAAAACTTCACAATTTTACATTCTGACCGCCTGTTCTACACAAGTGAGACACAGCTTTTAGTTTCGACAGAATCTGCTATACTGTATCGCCAGCAAATACCTATCGAAAAGCAGCTCATATAAATGTATTCGTTTGTTGTTGGTTTTTTTTTTTTGCAGACAGTTAACTGTCATTTACACCCAGGAAACATGAAGAAGACTTGCTTATCTTTTCAGGTAACGTGTCAGAGCGCTGAGGATCGAGGACGCCTCCAGGCAGAACAGTCCTCGGTTTTAATTATCGCACTCATGATTGCGCTGACCTCTCTGTATCCCTTTACAAGGATTCAAAGGCTTCTGTGCAAAAAAAAAAAAATGCTTCAAATGATTAAAATCATCGTGGGACTGGTTTCCCACTATCTCCTACTTTTCCCCAGTGAGCTGCCAATCTATGCAATTCCCAAATTGTGCCTCAGTCCATTTTAACCATTTGTAGTATTTGCTTACACATAACATACAGTATACTGTTTATGTCTGCAATATTCATAATTATTAATCAGATCAATTTACCAGACCGTGAAAGCAACTCTGATGAGGCGTGAAATAATTTGCATTAATTCTGCTACTCCTGAAATATAATAACGTGTGTACCACGCAAACATAATTGAAATTAATATGTATTTCTTGAGAAGCGTGACAGTATAAATAAGACGAACGTTTTAAATAAAAAAGCGCCACCTATTCTGACTTTTATCATTGTTGATAACGCAGAGATGCTTATTGATTCCTATAGATAGTTTTTACAAGAGGAATTCCAGGCATTTGATCCTTTCTTGATGATGAAAAAAAACTCAATTTGTACAATTTGTACGATTAAGAAAATATATCTTACAAGCTTTTTCCTTTAAGGTTTTTAATGAAAGGAGGATTGCAAGGAGACATTTGTACCTTTGGACCAGGAGGTGGCGCACTTGTCTTTGAGTATTTCAAGGTTGCGAGCGGTGAGCTAAACTAGTACCATTGTGGGTTGTTTCATTTTTAAACACGCCATGGAAGTTTTATTTAATGTTACTTATAAGGTTTTGAGATGATAGCTGATTTAAAATTCGAATGGTAACAGCCTGAATGCATGTCATCACACCAGGCTGTGGACATACTCATGCTCAAATGTACTTTGCTACATGATACAGTCCAGCCTGCACAGCCACGGGGAAAGATGAATGTATAAATCATATAGTATTGGTACTCTCAATCCGATATGTCAGGCTTAAAAGACACATAGCAGAAGAAGATGTTTTTATGACTGAAGTGAAAGAAAGGACTACATCACCAGTGCTAGCCCTGTGGGCTCTGTGTGTGCTTTAGCACCTCCAAAATGTATTGATCAGACTAGTTATTAAAGCAGGGGGAATGCAATTTTAATGTGTTAGCATTCGGGAGATTGTTGTGGGAATTCACAATGCCAGATAGCTGTGGGACAGTGTGGTAAGGTATCAGGTACCAGGGCAATTGGGATAGGTGATTATTGAGCACTTCAACAAAGGTGGCTATATGAGGTTATTAGCTCTGCAGGCTAATGTCTGCTGTATGCTCTGCATACTGCCAAGACAGAAGAACCCTTCTGTGATTAAGTTAGCCAGGCCAGTGTGGGGGACCACTGGGAACAGAAATCCTGTTCCTCCCACCACTGAGGAAAGGACCTTCGATCTGGGGGACCTGTCAGACAGTCCTGGGTTATGACAGCTGGCAGTGGGTGGAAGGAATGATGTAGACTGGGACAGGAATGAAAGAAATTACAGCTGACCTGCCACTAGAAGCCATTAATGGCACACACAGGGCATGATCAATATATATGCACACAGGGGATGATTAATTAGTTGAAGAAATCATAGAATAAGGGAATTCTCATATGGCTGGGATTAGGAGTAAGTATATAAATGACTTTACAGTCTTAGTTGATGGTTGGGCTCTAGAACACCAAATTACTGTGTGTAAGATGGAGATGTTAGTCTACAATAATGACTTTTCATCTTACTTCATATCACCATAAATTCAAAAAGTGCTCAGGCCCTGTAAGCCGGCATAATATGGTTGAGGCCTGTCACACAGTGATATAATAACATGATAACGGACTCTCTTGTTTGTGTAATTATTTTATAATTTTATTTCGGAGATATATATCTTCTAATTTCAAGACATAATTTTGGTATGGTGCTTGGCCTATTGTGACATCACTCACAGAAATGGTGTAACAGTTCAAAAGTTGCCATGAGACTTCCAAGAATACATGATCAAGTTTTAAAAATAAACTTACTTCCACATTTGTCTGAAAACGTTTTTATAACAAATTCTACGAGTTAAATATGAGTCTGAAATTCAGCTGCGACAACTTTTCAAATATTAGTGCCTTTGCTTAATTGACAAGGCCACACTGTGCTCTAGGAGATCGTCTAGTGATGGTCTTAGACCATATGCTCTGGATGTTAAAGGTTCAACTGTGTTAGAATACCTGTGGACCATTAATGCTATTCCATTAAGGAATAGCTGATGCAAACTTTACCAACACCAGCCAGACATACAATACTCTTCACTACTGGTAAAAAGCTTGGCAGCACCCACAATTCAATGTTATGGATTGAAAATAAATGGTGATACGTGTTCCTTACCATCATCATCACCACTGAGGTCATGTTCAAATTGAAACTGGCCAATGTACAGTATCTTAATAGCAAAATGATTCATGACCAAATCTGTGATTTATTGTATACACTTACTACTTAATGGCTTAGCATGAAATGTACTCCATTTATAGTATTATTAAAAAAAATAAGAACAGTGTAGTGGAACTTCAGAAATGTTCATATTTTCCTAAGAATCAAGAGCTGTGGTATTAGATTTTTCTATTGTGGATGGCATGCTCTCTGTAATTTGAGCTGGAACCACATTATTTTTGGAATTCCTGGCTGTCTCACTTGTGGTGAGGAAACAGGAGTGAGAATTACTATAGTTGGAGAGATGGGCTGGCTTTCGCAATCGAAGCACAAAAGGGTTATACCCCGGTTTCACTGTTGTCTGCAGCAGAGGTCCTCTGGGAGATACAAGCCAAAAGGGGGTTAGGTTTTGGCACAATAGTGTTGAAAACTCTGAATAGACTTTGTTTTGGCCCACTGTGGTGATAGTTCAATAAAGTGTAAAGTCTTGGTGTCAAAAACATTTCATAGACAATTTGTACCTTGTAAGCAGTGAAGAATAATTTAAGACACTCAAATGAGTCTTCACAAAATAATTAGCAGGGATTTAATGTGGCTTGCTACTGTGCATGCATTAATATAAATTACGTTTCTGTGTGAAAGACTCTGTGATTAGATCTCATTTGATCGTGATCTTATATACTGTAGGTCTCAATGATAAAATTGATAGCATCTCAGCAGTCTGATTTGTTTTAAGTATTACTTTTGAAAGCAAATT